AGGTGTTATAAGTAATTGTGCGGTTATGGTAAACACGTCCCACTATATTTACAGGTTACCTACTTTTGAAGTACAAATGAGTGCATTATTGATAGTAATAAAGTCTTCTCGGCTGGTAGCGTTGGTGTTTTCTTCATTACGCCACCTTATAGGACTGATAAGCCGAGAAGAATTTATTATACTCAGTCACCGTGAAAGCATCAGATCATATGAATACAATATTGTACTCTCGAAGTTTCGTTATCGATTTGTAAACCGAGCTTTGCTATACATAGCAATAAACATCGATGTGATTGGTTTTCTCTTCTTGGACCACGCGCTGTTTGTCAACAAGTTTCTGAATGGTACATTGTTTAAATGGTTGGGGTAGCTCAAAGCCATTACTTACATTCGTCAGCATTGTGTATACATCTTTTTGGGACACAACTTCATTTATTTTGGGTTTATTTCTATAAAATTTTCTTGAAATAATGCAATTTTCCGGTCAGTCTACGTGTTGTTCTAGCCCGTTTGAATAATTTAAATGGCGTCCCATCAAGTATCCTTCAGAATTTCGTATACTCTTTATTTATTGCTGATAGACGAAATTGCGCTGACTTGACGAAGGTTTGGCTCGTGAGTGGAGACGTCACGTTTGGCTAGTGGCCAGTGATACAGCACATTTCGCTGGCTAGCATGAGAAGAGTTGCGTTTGTTTGAACACGAGAAGGAGACCACAGTTAGCGTTCGACCGTCGAGTGAGGCTAACACATGGATGCGTTTACCGGGGTCAAGTTTCATCGCAGAGAACAGCGTGCAAAAGGAAGAAGAATTTGTTTGGTGACAGTGTTTTTGTGGTGGTGACGGTGTGTCAATATCGTAGTTTTACTACGGAAGAACATTTATCTGTAACATTTCCTATGGTACTTTTCATAGTTGGTGAATGAGTGATCCCATAACGGCGTAAGATAGAAGAGATAATACAACCTCCTACTCAGCCGAGGCACCTGTTAAAATCGTTGGAAGTCACACGTGTTGAATAGGTAGATATGTCGTCATTGTAACGCAGCTGTCGTATAAATACTGTTGTACAAGGATAAATGTTGCTGATCAAGTTCATATAGTCTTTGCAAACCAAATATGTAGGTCGTTGGTTCGAATGATGTTCAGTACAACAATGTTTGTTTGCATTATTCTGTTTTGCAGTGTGACATTTCCTAGGATCACAGAAAAAAAAAATTAACGTTAACATATTTCAAACGCGTAGACCAGCACTTTCAAATTGTGGTTTGGTAACTATAGTTATGCAAGTAGCTCATCGGAAAGAGGGGGGGGGGCATAGATCCCGTTCATTTGCAAGGTAGTTTCGAAGGAATTTAATCCGCTGGAACCCATCTGCTTTAACAATCAATAACTACATTTTGTCCACAGTGTGTTTCGGAGGATTCTCAGTGTAAACAGCTATTATTTTCTGAAACAGCATTGAACACCTGATATCTGTAATGGTGAGGTGTGGTGCTTTCTTTGCGGTACGGGCCGAATTCTTAAATATTATTTAGACGAGCTTCGTGCTTCAAAGGATTAATACATATTTTATTCAGAACATTTGATATAACGAAAGTCACAATTCATTGAAAATTCCTTATTAAACGAAATGCCAAACGTATAGTGAACATAATTGTAATATTTAAATAAATAAACTTTTAAAAAATGTATTTATTACAATAATTATCAGAAAATTATTATATGATAACTACGGTAGTACATGGTTTTAATGCTTTAAAATGTCTGCTAACGTATAGGATACGAACACAATCTTGGAACGGAACTCGTTCGAAAACCGAGAGTTGCCTGTGTTTTGTTTCAGACGCATTTGACTTGTGCTCTGTTTGAATTGCGTGATTGTAAAACGTAGTTGCATCACCTTACCTTTATTTTATTTGTGAAACACGTTGTAAAGATTAGGGTGTTTGGAGACGGGAAAAATTGAGTGGATGCCCCGGAAGATAAAAAGGGTAGTATTATAGATGTCGACCCATGTTCAGGGTCACCTTGATGATGGAGTCAGCAAGCTCATCAGACTATGTAGTTCAACATTACAGAAGACATTAGTTGAAATTTTTGTTGTGCTTCCAGAAGACGTTCAAATATATGACCATCAGATTGTTTGAAGTTCACATTTCTATCCTGAGGATGGAGGCGGTGGGTTTTCTCCCACACGTACAAGATCACAAGATGTCAGTGACTCGGCAGACCACAAACATATTTTAAAGCTGTCCCTTGTTGTTTATACTTAGCAGCGGAAATGCTCTTCCATACCACTGACTGTGAATATTTGAAACCTGTTATTATTTCTCTGGGGCCGTTTCATTATATAGTTAAGTAAAGACCGGAAATGTGAATTTCATACTCTGCAGTTTTGTTAGCTATCGTGGGCACTTTTTTGCATAATTTTCATTGTTACAGTGAAAAGAGCCCTCATTATATGAATTAATAAGAGGCATTAGGTATGTTTCGTTATGTACAGTCGGCTGTATAAGAATACGGAAGATACGTTATCGACATGAAAGAGCCAGTACGAATTAACAGAAATATATAATTTATTTTGACCACTCTGCGTTAAACATTAATCAGTTGGTCTTTGTAATGGTGTTAGAACTTTTCTTTATTTAGTATTTGTATGAGCAGATTTCACCAAATTCCGCCCTCCCAGGGTTAATCAAAATTCGGAATTCCGATCGAATGCAGTAGGACCTTAACCGCGTCCGGGCGCCAGACGTTCTCTTCAACCTACCTTTATCAGAAGGACACTGCCTGGGAGCCTTCACGACCGAAAATTTATTTCTCCCGTCAAATTTAGTCTGTCACTTTTCTGTTACTACTTACATCTACGACTTCCATTTTGTGAAACAAAATAAATAGCACGTTTACTTATATTTAGCTATCACAACTCTGTTCAACTTCTGGCTGCAGTCGCTAAAGATAAGAAAGTTTGCTTAGTTGTGGAGTCAATGCACTTTTCCCAGACTCGTTTACAACGAAATTGAGAGGAGAGGGTAATCTCAAATGGAGGTACTTGAATTTACCGATGTTTGTCTTCTAGATAGTAACGCCGTATGGACTTGGAGGTAGATAACCAACTTTTCGGAGGAACGTACTGCCTCCTCCTTCATGACCGAAAATACTATTTACAAATATATGATAAAACAAAAACAAATAAGTTAATTATTAAATATGAGAAGAATATACATATTTATGAAATACTGACAACTTTAAACACGAAATATGAAGATTCAAATAGAAATTATTTTATCAGTTGAATTTTTGGGGGGGGGGAAGAGATAAAAACCAAAACAAAGCTAGCTGTTGACCTATCTGAGTTTTGGTACCCAAAATCAAACAACAGTTATACTGTGATTAAATTAACCTACCAGTGACAGTTTAAAATTGTAATATTGGAACTATTTTCTTTTAATCAGCTCACAAATATCCATTCTGTAGTTACATTCATTCACTTTATAAAAGTCAGCCCCTAAGACTTAATTTTAGATGTTTCAATTTTTCTACAAACAGATGTTCACAAATACACGTGTTTAAAAAATAATATGTAAGTACACTGTATATTAAGCTGAAAGAAATTGTTTTGAATGATTAAAGAGTTTATTCAATTACAATACAAAAGCATTCATTTTTTAAATTGCTTTTACCAAACCGATTGAAGACTCCCTATTTCAGGAATTAAATGATGGGCGGGGACAAAAGCATCAAGCCACTTACTCTTTAAATTCCATCTGCCTTGATGGTCAGATGTGACTACACACTAGAAAAATCCTGACCCAGTCTCAATTTACAAATGATAAGAACAAATCTTGGAGAGCAAAATGTATTGTACTAAAAAAACTCAAGGAACAGAATGGAAATATTTACAAAACCTTATTATTCACAGACAATGTGCAAAGAGTACAATCAACAGGCCACATGTTGCATATGCATAGAAGGAACGACTACGTTAAGTACACTTCCAATTGATGCAATTTCAGGAAATGAAAATTAACTTGAAATGGAAACAAATTTCACAGAAAAATAAATGTGTAACAATATGCACGAAGCAATAATACACTCTGAGCTAGATTTAAAACAACGTATCCATGTGCCTGTACACACAATAAATAATAGTCATTGTTTAAAATTGGTACTAGAAGTCATAACTAAAATCACTAACTGTAAAAATTCATGGAAATGGACATGCAACCTTTGATACACATTCATTTAACTTTATACCATCAACACTTTTACACTGCTTTTCTTTTTCAGTATGTAAAAACATCTCGGCTTTACAAACCGAATGCGGGTGCTTCCATGTTTTACACGTAACATAATGCAAACACAAAGTACGGCTTTACAAAGTTAAACAAAAAAAAAGGTTTAAAATGGTTTATATTAAATAAAATATTGAGTTACGGAACACTAAGATCACAGCAGGATGCGAGGTTCTCACTGTGTCGAGTATGAACACAGCTGCCTTCTGGGTCGTAGAGCTGTTTTGCCGAAACGCTGGTAAAAGTCTACCAAACTATAAGGCGCTGCGACCCAGAAAAGAACCACTGTGGGCAAGTTCTTAATCAGATTAGACAAAATGAAATAAATACAGGCCAGACAAAGAACAATCAAGACAAATTCTTGAACTTTTAGCAGGACAAATATTTTATGTTACAATTTCTTCATATCATCGTCACCAGGTAAAACAATTTGCTCATTCACAGAATTACGGGTCCGACAAACCAGGCAGATTTTTCTGTGCACTGAGGACAGCTCAAGCTTAGACTCTGTGGACAATTCTGGTCACCTACCATGGTTTGGAGCCCTCGTTACAACTGCAAGTCTCTTCTGTTGTCCACCATTCTTCCTATCATCTGATCACTGGGAGTAGCAGTATCTGTCTCATGCGTGCCTCTCAGCTTTAGTGACATACCTCAATAACTTCTTTATTTATTTTTTTTAGTTTTGCTTCCACCTCAGGTCAGATTTGCCAACATCAAATTGCCTTCATGCTGCTAGATTAGTGTTTTCCTATTACATAAAACACAACTTACTTTTAAAGGTATGTAAATTGAAGATCATCCAAATTGCATATTTTGCCTTCCAGGTTCCATTTGCACAACTAATTTCACTCTTAGGGAAGTGATATTATCTAGCAACTTTTTAAAACCTAAATATGCATGAGTTAAATAACTGCTTATTATTATCATCATCATCATAATCATCAGTGTTTGCCTGTTATTGGCTTCTTGTTTGCAAACACTTAAATAAATTAACTGAATTGAATAGTATTAAAAATATATTAAAATTGGCCGTCAATCACAATATAAGATAATTAAAAGATTAAAATATCATTTTACGTTCCGTATCGAGTACTCGATTTACATGTGGAACATTTACGACATGTTTCGGCTATATATAGCCGTCATCAGGTGTTATGTTATAAACTTTTTAACTGAATTACTGATTTTTAATGATTTTTAGTTTTTATTTTTCTTATCATTTTCTCGTCCTTCATATTGTATCTTCATCCGTTGTTGTGTCACAAGTCACTAATATGATTGTAATATGATTTTAATATATTTTTAATACTATTTAAATAAATCACAATATGACGCACCTACAATATCTTAACTGAATTGAATTATTATTATTATGCTATAACTCTTACTCTTTCTTCCAAATAACTTCACTGTGTGTAACAGCAAATATTAAAACATTACGACAAATGACCCAGAACAACGAAGACATCATAGTGAGGGAGGCGTAAATTACGACAAATACGGGAATATACACACATCATGCATCTGAAAATCACCTTAGCAGTCAAAGGATTTGAGGAAAACAGTGAGTAATTTATGAATGGCACACAGAAATGAAAGTTCAAGTCATAAAAATAGTCACCCACATGACAGAATGTTTAATGTGGCGAATGAAATTAAACAGACCTACAAATCCACATCAATCCATAAATATATTACTGACAACTGCATGCTAAATTATCAGAAGTGATGAATAACTTACACATAAGGGTCTTTGAGTTCCTCCGTCATAAAATTCAAATAATTCCACCCAGAATATGAGAATATCCCAGAACAAAAGGAGACCGCTATCTTCCCAGCATCTCCCGTTGTGCCACGAAAAGGATCTTGCAAGTTTTCAGCATTACCTGTTACACACGCAAAGGAAGAACTTTTGTAAAGATAATCTTGTATCGCAGTATTTTTATCTGCTTCATGCTACATCACACTTATCTTACTTATACGAGAAATTCTGGACCTTTCATTTGATGAATAAATGTAATGTGCAAATTTACTTTTTTTTAATCTTTGGTGAGAATTTAAACACAGAGAAAAGAACTGCAATCATTTAGAAGCATATTAAGTGTGCATGTGTGTGTGTGTATTTTTTTTCCCCGGTTTAACAATGTTTATACATTTTTTCGGTATCCAAGGTTATCTTTTTTTTTGTTACCTTGACTTTGATCTATAGACATCCGGTAGGACTCCTTGGACGAGGGATCGGCCCGTCGCAAGGCCTCTACCTGTACACAGGACAGCACAACACAGAAACACACGGACAAACACCCATGGCTTGAGTGGGATTCGAACCCATGATCCCAGCGACCAAGCGGCACAAGGCCCACGCCTCAGACCGAGCGGCCACTGCGGACCCAGCCTATTAAGTAGATGATGTAATTTTCTTTCATATCAATGCAAATAAATACATCAAAGAATGAGATTACATTAGTACCTCCAAAGAAATATGCAGTTTGGTGTGTATGAGGTGCGACAATTTCCTGGAATGCGGTTTCTTATGAAATCCATACGCAAACTCATATGTTCAATCACTACGTAACTTGTACAAAAATTATTGTCCCTCCCCCTTCTTTACCAGAACTGCCACATTTCAGTTCGAAAGCAAAAAAATCTGCATTGATATAATATTAAACTGTATCTATCTACAAAACTGTAAACATATAAGAGCTTAATTTACCATATATTTTCTTAATCAAAGGCATCCTGTTAGGTGGTACTTTAATCGACGACACAAAAATCTGCCACACACATGTCTTTATTTCGTTTCACCAACCCACTGGTTTACTCCACTACATGTTTCAACCTGAAATGACCATCTTCAGGTGGTCTAATGTTAAGAATACTACTGACTGATAAAACTGTACTAATATTAATATTAAAATTACAATTGCAGCTGTGTGTCGGCAATTTAGTGAGGTCACAGCTTATATCTTTAGCTTGGGTTTTTTTACAAGTTCCATTAAAATATGGTTACGCAAAAAAACAATTCAGATTACGAGAGTAAAAAGGTAAGAACATCAAAGGTTAAACCAAAATGCATGGATTATGTATTACACTGATTACTATCTTGCTATTATTGTGTATTTATTCTTTGTTGTTCTTTCACCAAAGACAAACCATTTTTCACTTATACTGCTATCTATGAACTATATACAGAATGAGAATTTTCCAGTGAAAACTGCTAGACATGACACCATAACCTCAAAGTTTACCGAAAGAGTAAAATTTTCTTTTCAAGGGGAAACTAATATTTTTGTGTTCTGTGTGGAGCTGTTCTGCTTCCTGAAGGCATGGTACCATAAAATGCCACGTCCTCAAAGTATACCAACTATTTTTATTCATCAGGCAGTGCAAAACCCAACAATGAACTACGGAATGTTTTCAAATTCCCAGCAGCAAATGTGTTAATACTTACCCATAAAAAGATATGCAAATCCAGCAATAATTATCACAACAAGGGCAGCGACCTTAGTGAACATGAAGATATTTTGCAATCGTGTCGTAAGCTTTACATCGTAAGAATTAAGAAAAGTCAAGAAACCTGCAACAAATATAAACCACTTACTTCTGAAACATGGCAAGAAGCATTTGTGATATAAACAGAATGACAGGATAACGTTAAAAAAAGTATAGTGGGTAACATCTGATCTTTGAGGAAAAGTACTATAAAAACTAAATAATGAAATCCGTAATTTCAGGTCACTTACAATTCAATACCTCAGGGTTTGATGACCAAATCAAAGGTTACAAAAATGGCAGCGTGCTACTTATTCAACAGCAAATATGTTGAGATGATTATGAATGGTAAATAGGAAGTAAGCTGAAGTGGTCTTTGGAAGTGTCGCATATTTGCTAGAGATTTTATATTGTTAAAATTGTTTGTATAAAACAATAAAGAAATTGTTACCTTCAATTTTACAAGAATGCTGAGACGCAGAGAAAAAAAGGTATAAAGGTACAGCATGAGGAAAGAATGGTAAAAGAAACATTAGAGGGAGGAGTGCAATAATGAATATTTCAAGGATAAAAAGAAGGAAATGAAAGGAAAAGATAAATATGTGTTACAAAAATAATTTTAACCTTACAACTCTACTTATACACAAATTCTAAAAATGTAAGTCTTTAAAATTTATTAGATTTCGTATAATGTGCTCTGCTGCATCAAAAGTTTTTATGCATTTGGTGACATTTTTTACATCCCTATCAAATGTGCATATAATTAATGTAGAAATGTCAAATTTGCATTTTTCCACCAATTCATGTCACTAGCAACTGTTATGCAGCACTGTCCTTGACTTCGTAAAATGCGATGCTAATGATTTATATATTTTGTTAAATAAATAAGGACTGTGCTTTACTGTTGCCACACCAAAGATAAATATGAGCCGGGATAGCTCAGTCAGTATAGTTGACTAGCTACGGGCTGGACGACCGGGGTTCGATCCCCGATGGGGGCAGAGGATTTTTCCTCTAGCCTCTGCTCTACTCTGACTGTACTTTCACAATTTTTAGAACTAATTCTTGCCGTTGTATTCCATTACACAGACATTTTTCAACCAGAAACATAAATGACATACCAATAAACACCTACACTAATGTTTCCATGCTTATTAATCATTAATTATACGAGGGCATTTCAAAAAGTAACAGCAAATTAAATATTTTGAGATATATAATTTAATTAGAGATTAGAGAAATGATATGTCATTTTTCTACATAATCACCCTCATTTTCAATACACTTCTTACACAGTTGCACCAACTTCTTTATTCCATCAGAAAAAAATGATTTTGGTTGTGCCTTCAGCCAGGAATGCACCGCTCCTTTGACCTCGTCCTACTCACCCACCTTGCACACAACTTGTGATACTTGAGAATCTCCATGACAATAGCAGATGTCTTTTCCTACATCCCAACATTAGGATACCATGGTGACAATGAATCCACAACAAAATTATAGACACTCAATCTCACTCAAAACCAAACTAACTTTATTTTAAAATTTTCTCACATAAAACTGGCCCTCAAACACAAGACCGGAACATTTTACCTATCCTAATGTGTGCTCTGATTACTGATAGATGAACGTTTACTTTTTGTGACACGTGTCCAACTTATCATATACTTACAGATTGTTACAGCTGCAAGCATTCTCACTGAGCTGTCTGGAACTTTACAAGATGGGAAGAAAGGCTGAATCACATAACTGGCAAACGTAAGACCCATGATAGCATTGGTTGTCGGCCTGTAAGGATTAAATCCAACTTGAAAGTAACTATTACTTTAAAAAGAACATAAACCGCTTAAACAGGGTTTATAACTGAATATAAGGTAGGTAAAAAGCATGAAATACGATTGAGTTCTTCATAAATTATAATTCGTAATGTGAAGAAAAACTTAATCAGAAAGAAGCTATGTGTCGTGTTGTGTGGCGTCTACTGTGTCATGTCTTGTTATGGCTGATCAAGTCCCCACCCAAGAACACACATGGTGTGCAGCAGAACAGCTTTCCTTTTTGTCTTTTTCCTTTTTACTAAGCTCTTATTACGTGTAAAGTAATAGTGTGTGTGCGGAAGAGAGAGTACACTGCAAATACCAGTGATCAGTCTCAAATTAACTTGTATTTGTAAATGTAAGCTCAAATAAACTTAAATATGTGATTTACTAGTTTTATATTTCAGCTAGTATTCAGAATTAAAAGATGCAAGAAAAACATATAGAAACTGTGTATCTGGTACAACCTACACTTTTCCAGGTCTTTTACCCCCAGAACAGGCAGAGGAAAAGACACATATTGTTCTCTGCCACTTTCTATAAATTTGTCACATAAAGAATAAAATTATCTGGCACATATTTTAAGCATTATATGGCTAAATGAAAACAGAACAGCGTTAACTTACACAAAGATTAGCATAGCATCCCAGAGATAGAGGAAAGCTGGCAAAGATCCAAAGGCTTCAAAGATGTATGCATAGTCACCACCAGACTTAGGAATAGAAGTGCCAAGTTCAGCATAGCAGAGTGCTCCTACCATTGACAGGACTCCACAAAGCATCCACACTATGATTGAAAGTCCTGGTGATCCTACTTCCTGAATAACGCCAGTAGGTGACACAAAAATGCCTGCATAAAAGCAAGTTTATTCATATCTAAAATCAACCCTTGATCTTATGTCAGGAGGAGAATGCACAAATCAATGAAAAAGTCTACTTGACATCAGTCAACTTCCATTTTATCCCAATAAAAATTTCAACCAATCAAAAACCTCCAGATATCTCTATATATATCCAAGGCACGGGTTATACACACGGACCCTGAAGATGGCAACTGCAATGCTCATTGAAACATGACCCAAGAAACAGCAACACTATATAACAGACCAAGGGTGGGTAAAGTAATGTCCACAAACAATGAACATGGGCCATCAAAAACAGTCTGGTCTGAGGTGATATTCAGATGTCAACAACATATGCCCATATCACTTTTCACTTTCTAGTAATCGAAACAAACAAATTAATAGAAATTAACATACTGACAAAAATACATGTTTTGGGCTCTCTAGTACATACACAATTATTTCTGCTTTAATTGACTTTACCTACAACTGGGTAAGAGAAAGTCATGTGGAACCCACTCCATATTTGGTTTAATACATGTTTTAACACCTTGCGAAAGGATATGACAAATTCTGGGCACCAGGTCGCCATGGGATCTAGAACTTTTGTTGTAGAACCTAGTATTTTTAAAGTAATTATGGTACTTGTGGGTTATCGGGACACATCGCTTTAAAAATAGGTTAGGTTAGGTTAGGTTAGGGATTAAGTTAGGTTATATTAGGGATTAGGTTAGGTTATATTAGGGATTAGGTTAGGTTGGATTAGGTTAGGTTAGGTTAGGTTGTTATGAAACTATATTTCAGTGATAGAGTGAAATGGAGGTGCGGTAAACAATCTTGCAGAACGACAACCTAACCGAATCTTTTTTAAAGTGATGTGTCCCGATAACCAACAAGTACCGTAATTACTTTCAGTTTATGTCTGTTTCTGCATTTTCTAAAAATCCCACCTACAAGTTACTCTACTCATTTTGGGCAGTGAACAACCTACACCAAAACCTTCTGCAGTAATTTCCAATCATGTGTACTACAATGAATGGTTGGTAGATATTTAATATTAAGTGCCATTAGGTGGCTGAAAGTTTGGCTTGTGAATTTAACAAAATTTATTTACATTCCAAAGATCCTTCATAGACCCAAGCCAAGGATGTAGAACACGTGATAGCACAAATACAATATTTGTTTCTAATACAAATATAAATAACTTACTTATGACAGTTAGTAGACAAGTGGGGCTAGAAGTAAATTCAGAAAAAACTAAGTACATGTTAGTATCTCGTCATCAGAAGACAGGCGGGCAAAATTATCTTAGGGTGGCTTATACAAAACAATAATTTTGCCTGTTGTTTTGTATGGGTGCGAAACATGGTCTCTCCCTCAGAGGGAGGAACACAGATTGCAGGTGTTTGAGAATCGGGTGTTGAGGAGGATATTTGGGCCTAAGAGGGAAGACGATGGGGCGTGGAGAAAACTGCACAATGACGAGCTTAAAAATCTGTACTGCTCCCCCAGTATTGTCAGGGTGATTAAGTCGAGAAGAATGAGATGGGCTGGGCATGTAGCACGCATGGATGGGACAAGACGTGTGCACCTGAGGGGAAGATACCTCTGGGGAGACCTAGACGTAGATGGGAGGATAATCTCAGGCGGGATCTATGGGAGATAGGAGTTGAAGGAAACTGGATTTTGTTGGCCCAGGACAGGGTCCGGTAGAGGGCTTTGGTTAATTCGGTGATGAACCTTCGGGTTCAGTAAGCCATCTAGTTAGTTAGTTACAGTATTACCACAAAAATAATTATATAATAAAGCATAACCACCACTGCTTACATGTATTTATAATTGGTGAGAATGTGTGCTACTTACGAGGTGCAGACCAATCGGCATCTGCATTACATAAGAAATTAACAGAGTGGACTCAACAAATAATGCTGCACCACAGGTTACTTGTGGTTTACAGGCATGTTTATTGTTTGTAACCAAGATTGAAAGAATTGTTACTTTCTTAAGGCTCGAACATTTTTTTAGCAGACACAATACAACATGCAGCAACAGATAGGTCACAAGAAAACTTAAAGGAAATGTGTGTGAAGAATTTGTTTACTGTACCATTACAATGCAGAAACAATCCCCACTAGGAGGTGAAATTAAGTGGATTAATGTATATAAGGCATCAGATAACAAAATTAAAGTAGAAATGAACAAGTCCCTTTGTCTTTGACAGATCAGTTTCAAACACCAGAGGTAGAAATTCAAGGAAGAATGGAGTAAGGAATTTACATGGCTTACACTTAATCAGAGCTTGGAATACTTTCGCAAGATATCTCCGAGCTTCACTGACCATTACAAATAAATACATCGGTGGCCAGCTAGCAGAATATGGGGAGGAAGTAAAAGTGACTGCCGTAAATAAGGTGTCTTGCTCCCCCCCCCCCCTCACCATTTCCACTCTTACTGTGAGTAGCTCAGCCTACTGTGGATAAAAATTCTAAGATTGCAGAAGGTTTTACTATAATATAGTTGGACCACCAGTGACACAATTTGATCCTGCGAATGTTGTGAACAAGCGTTACTTCAGTTCCAATTACACAAGATATTTATGATCACAAGAAGCCAATTCAGAAATAGCAAAGAATCACATAGCACATTTGTTTCTTCATGTCAGAATGTTATTTTGCATGACATCAACATGCACATTTCTGGTTACTGCTTAAAAAAACATTCAAAAACCAATTTATTCCACTCAATGTTCAATGCTTTTGTTAATCAGTAAGATAAAAATCCCAGAAAGGAAAGAATGTTTTGGGCTGGTTTCTAGACCAAACAAAAAACAGTCTTCACCTGCCTTAAGAACACCAGAGGTTTGGATATCAAGTTCAAATTAATTTTTAATAACTTCATGTCCTCTGATATACCTGGTATGTTCAGTCAGTGCCAGTAGTCCATTTTATAATTCTTCTAGTACACACTTGCTCTTGTGTACTCTATAGCCCTCGTACCTTAGAGGATAATCTCAAATTGGAGGCATATATGGACTACTCAGGATCAGGTAAATTTGCAGGATTTTAGATATGAACATAAACTTGTGGATCAAAAATAAAATGTGTTAATTACCTGAACCAAAAATTATTCCAATAATAATAGCCACTCCCTCCAATAACCCTAGCTGCTTCTTCATACAGACTCTCTTGTCTGATTCTCTCTTCTCACCCACAGCAAATGCATTATCCACTGTAGTCACTGAACTTGGAGAATTCAACATTGGGGTTTCAGACATGATGGCTACTATTGAATTTTCTAAATGATGCGGTTCTAATACTGAAAATACACAATTAAAAATTAATCAGCAGCCATTACTTGAATATGATGGTACATAATAGAAAATGTGGTCATTAATCTAAATCGGCAAAATTGAATGTATTTTCTGGTTGGCAATAGGTAAACTGATGCAATAAATCTGTATCTGTTCTGCCTTTCTATCTCCAATACTATACAAATTTGCCAATGATCTCAAAAACGTAAAAATTGCATCACCTCTTGTGGTGTAAATATTACAAAATTGCACCGCCTGTTGTAGTTCACAGCTTGTTCCAAGCTCATTTACGTTATTAAAAATGCACTACACTTCTACAATACTTTAAGTTCAGAAAAATTAATTACTACTCAATACTTCCATTAGGTAAAAAAAATCATATTCAAATGCACGTGGCCATCAAAAATCCACCTAATGAGATTAATGGAACCATTAGAGGTGCAAACAACTGATTTAACGGGAAGTGAATAGCTTACCTTGCAATTGATCACATAAAACTTCACTCCTGATAATATTTTCTTGTTACATCAAAATCTTGAAAAAATTCCAAACTAAATATCTCGCATCCATACCGCCAACATCTCGATAACAGTACTCGGCCTCGCAAGCCAGCACAGATAAACCACTCTTTAATAATACCATAGATTGCCTTTACCTTAGTTTAAATAGATTCATTCTGATGAACAACGAACCGCAGATTGTATTGTACTGCACTCTGTGAGCGATTCACAGATAAGTACACAACGGCTATACGTTATTCACAATCTCTAATATTACAACCTACATTTTCAGATGTTGAAATCATCAAATCTACTACATTCCACACATGTATTACATTAGATCAGACTTGCTTATGTTACGATGTTGCATGTTACATGCCATACTGGATTCTTCGGTAAATCTGAAGAATTTTACGTCCTGTTACCTGTATGTAACCTACATCCACTTTGCGCGGTATGGCATTGCACTCCAAGAAACACAACACGATACAATATGGGTATCTGAAAACATCAATATTACCGCTCCACAGACAGAACGGAAGAAAGGTTATTGTTAGGTCAGCTTCGATATGATCACGCAATCGTAACTGAATGGTTATCAAATCTCAAATGTTCCAGTTGCTTTGTTCTTGGTTCAGCTAACGCTCCCGTAAACCGCTGACGACTTCTTGCGACATCTCTTCTGAATACTATTAGAATAATAGAAGTTCTACTGAATCGTGATAAGATGTCTCCAAGCAAGCTGTCAACGTATGCTACATGAGTTGGCACCTACTGACCCTTATCATAGACAACATACCCAGACTAAATGCGCAAAAGCTACACTGTTTAACGTTGCCAACATATGATTCTATTAACTGAAATGAATACGAATTACCTGCGCTAAATAATGCCAACCGCATGCCTGTGGACACCGTGGTTCCTCGGAAAGTTCTCACGGTTCCATGAAAGTGCTATTCAAAATAATGTTATAACTGAAGATGTTTAAGTTGTGGGTTGTTACGCCGTGTAATTTGATAGATGTTTGCCGACGTTTCACAGGTGCTTTCTGCTCTTTTCATGGAGGCAGCAAAAACCTCTGAAACTGTAGAATTTTAGGTTCTCGCGGTAGTGATTACGAGGATGGCTCTCTTCTGGGTTGTAGCGCCTTGTAGTATGGTACAATTTTACCAATGTTTCAGAAGTCGATTCTGCCTTCATCATTCATATCCTTCTTAGGATCCATGGAACGCACAAATCCATGTATCTACACAATGTTGGTATACGCTTCGGACTCCTCGTTTATAAACAAAGATTGCACATGTGTGCTTTGCATTTTTCGATAGGTTATGCAGTGTATGTGGTATCAGTTATAGTAATTCTTGAATTCTTTATGTTGTGTTTGTTATATTTGTATATTTTTGTATAGTTTGCAAATATGGTTTGAGTAAAAACTAATTGAAGCAACATACAATTTAAAAATTAATACCATTCTTTCCAAAATGTATTCAAAGGTAAGGTGCGTATGGGAATTTAGATTGATCTTGATGACTACCATTGACGTAAAATGTTGAATTTGTACGCGGAAGAGGGTAGTTCTTCCGAATTTGGAAACTCAGCGAAGCTTTCTGTTCTTGGACAATCTGAGAATCGAGTCATTTTTATAGTGGCAAAATGTAATGATACGTCGCATAGGTACAAATTTTCGTTTTAGAAAAGCAGAAAAGTCAGGATGCATCTCCCTTTGTAACATGTGCACGTGAAATTAAATACTCTAGATGGTGATAAGAAATTAAATTAGTACTTGTTCAGTGGCAGTTTATAAAAAGTGATCAGCAGTTCCTACTCTCTTTTGGGGCCCACCAGCAGTACAGAATGTTTTTCTCTGGGGGAAAGACAGACATGAATTATATACAACAGAAGACAGCCATTATAAAATTTGCTTTAATTTTCAAAACAGAGAATAAATGTGGATGTCTTTTTACTCTGCAAAACCGAGCCCATGAGTTACAGTGCAGGTGATGAGCACAGTGATATACTTCATCCTGCATCAGGAAATATGGAATAGATATCAAGATTTAAAGAAAAAAAGTTAAAGTGACCTATTGGCTTCACCTCTGATGTCAAAAAGGTTCATAATAATCTCCAGCTGCATAGAGCCATTTGCCCAATGGAGTGGTATGAACTAAAACAGAAGTTCACTTCCATGAAGCTCGCTGGATTTTTTGGACTGTTAAGTTGGTCTTACATTAAACTGAAGGACTTTGGAAGGAAGAATTTTTCTGGATTTGCAGCCACATACATTTGTGAACAAACCTTGTCTCTGATAAAGAGAAAGAAACTGATGCATTAAAGATGCTATTTTGTCTAAAAAACAGTTGAAGTTTATTAGTAAAGTTGTAAAGAGGAGGGGTGTACTTTCAGAATCAAGGTTGCAGACATATAGGAAAGAGATTTGTTTAAATTACTGATTTTCATCATTTAGCTGTGTAGTTCAGTTACAGCCATTTTGGAATTATTTTGTGGGTTCAAAATTAGACCAGTTCTGACGGGTGCTGATGATGGTGTAACGCAGAACAGATTGTCAGATGTTTTGATTTTGTCAGTTGTACACCTGAAGAAGAAGCACGTATTTTGTATTGTAAGACAGTGGACACGGTTCTAAAGCCCAACAGTCCAGATGTAAATGGACGTTTATCGTCATGTTATAATTTCCAAAAAATCTGAAAGATATCCACTAACATGGTAACTGATGTTGGTGATTGATCACAGTTTTGTATAATTTTTTGCATGTAACATAGATCAGGCAGTATGCTATCATTTTAAAAATCTGTATATGATTCTAATAATTTCGGTGTTAAATGTGTCTAGAAATCTGTTTTGTACACAGGGGTCTTCACACAAAGAATGGCTATTGCAACAGGAAGCAAAACGCCAGGCACTTGATCATAAATTGGATATTCGTGAAGCAGAAAAGGTAGAAATTGATAAACGGGCAGAGAATCGCAGACTTTTCCATCGATTTCTAAGAGAGAGACAGCAGGCACAAACTGAAGAAAGAATTATTCAGGTAAGTATATAAAACTGCAGCGAGTGGTGAAAATTAGTAGACGGTTAGTTACTCCACTTTTGATCCCAGGGTGTAACTTTGCTACTGATCTCCTTCGCTATGCTACCGCCAGCATAGCTCTTGGGGTCACTGAGGTACTCAAGCCCTACCACCATGACAAGGTGCAGGTACCATTAAGTGAGGCTACTGATCTCAGGAAACACATTTCTGCGGCTTCCTTTCTTTATTTTTTATCATTGTCCAGACTTCTGGTATGTACGAAGGAACATACCTTGCCCTTGTGTTACACTGTTCTGAGTATCCTTAAAGTTTTTTGTATTTTTACTTCAAGATTTATTCATTTGAATTTTATTATAACCATGACAAGGTGCAGGTACCATTAAGTGAGGCTACTGATCTCAGGAAACACATTTCTGCGGCTTCCTTTCTTTATTTTTTATCATTGTCCAGACTTCTGGTATGTACGAAGGAACATACCTTGCCCTTGTGTTACACTGTTTTGAGTATCCTTAAAGTTTTTTGTATTTTTACTTCAAGATTTATTCATTTGAATTTTATTATATTAATCTCTGTATTGTTTTTCTTGAAATGTTATATTTTGTTTTAATTATCTTCCTGTATTGATTCTGTGTCATTATGTTTCTTAACAGTTATGTTTTGTATTTCACATTGACTTGAGACTGGATGGCAACGTATCTATAGTATCCTCAGTAATTACTATCACATGTTATCCTTCCTGCTTTTATGTTGTCGATCAGACTGTTAATCTTTTATTTCAGGCTGAGAATATGCGTGAACTGCAAAAAAGACAGTCTGAGCAAGAGGCAAGGTTGGCCCAGAAGATGGATCATATTCACCTAGAAGAGTTAAAGGAAGCAAAGTTAAGGTGGCTATAATATATTTATATTTAAAGTATGTAAATTGCTGACAGGAATAATGTTTGTGATGATTGAGGCTGGAATTGGTTAAAAGCGAATATTGGTTCATCACCGAATTAACCACAGCCCTCCACCGGACCCTGTCCTGGGCCAACAAAATCCAGTCTCCTTCAACTCCTATCTCCCATAGATCCCGCCTGAGATTATCCTCCCATCTACGTCTAGGTCTCTCCAGAGGTCTCTTCCCCTCAGGCTTCCCAAATAGTGGACCCAACCAACCAGATGGCTTACGGAACCCGAAGGTTCATCACCGAATTAACCAAAGCCCTCCACCGGACCCTGTCCTGGGCCAACAAAATCCAGTCTCCTTCAACTCCTATCTCCCATAGATCCCGCCTGAGATTATCCTCCCATCTACGTCTAGGTCTCCCCAGCGGTCTCTTCCCCTCAGGTTTCCCAACCAGTACCCGGTGCACACCTCTTGTCCCATCCATGCGCGCTACATGCCCCGCCCATCTCATTCTTCTCGACTTAATCACCCTGACAAAATTGGGGGAGGAGTACAGATTTTTAAAATTCACATTTAACTAAAAGATAATTTAAATTTACATTATAATGGGCATAATTCTTGCAGACAGAAGCTCCGTGAATCAAGTGTAGAGCTGAAGACTCTTGAAGCGAAACTCAGAGGAGCGTACATCTCTAAGGAGCTTGCTGCTCAAATAGCAGAGAAGAAAGCAGCCAGGTTGGAAGAGAAAGTAAGAAAACTGAAGTGAAAGTATAGTGGAATCCCCATTTAATGTTTTCTTGCATTTAATATTCAGTTTCGGTGATCCACAGATCAGTAATCTCATTTTAAAAAATTTAATCTGTATAAATGTGGATCATGGTCTTAATAATCCTGTAGATAGTTGTAAACATTTCCAAGGAGCATATATATTACTGGTGAATTGACTTCTATCCTGAAGACAGAGCATCGGTAATTCCCGACAGGGGTACATGGCATAACAACGCAGAAGACCACAGTACTCGTTTTCATGGCCATGAAAACCTGAAATCATATTCCGATAAGCCTTCAACTTAGTTTACTGTTCATATACTCGGTCGCCACACCCTCAAATAATCCTTAAATGGAATGTCGCTGTATATTCATGATTACCATAAATCAGAATTTATACAGAAGGCACTCGACATTTGAGGAAGGCGCATTGAGATATTTCCCTTCACCGTCGTGTGTGCATTTATTTCCAAATCTTGTCTGTTGGATGTTTCAAGTGCTCCTCGTGCTTGTGTTCAGATCTAAGGAGTGCTGCAGGTATTTAGTCGAGGCAATTGTGAATGAGAATCTTTAAATACTTCAGATAATGGTAAAAAGAAATTTAATTAATTTTCATAGTAGCGAGCTTTCCCCAAGTATAATATGCTTCTAATTTCTTCATAAATGTTAAAGTCATTTAAACAGATGTGGCGTCTATTCCTGCATAGCAGAATTTGAGGTTTTCACGGGCATTATGTAGTTTGGTATATGTCCACCAGACTACATGGTGTTACATCCCAGAAGACGGCCGTCTTGTTACTGCATAATTTCATTAATGAACTGACTGTAATTGATAATTCGTTTTCAGTTGCAGGAGAAAGCAGCTGTTGAGTCCCTGCGGTCAGCATGGGAGAGAGAGGGCGCTGCAGAAGCAGAGAAAGAGGCTGAGGAATATTGTCGCAAACTAGAGTACAGAGCAGAGCTTCAAGACCAAATGATGTATGCAGAGAGACTGAAGCAGGCGGCCTACGAGGATTTCCTGCGAGAAAAGAAAATCCTGGATGATGTTGTACGCAGAATACACGAGGAGGATCAGAGGTACGCATTATAAAGTTATCTGTGAAGGTTTCTTCTTTTTATATATATGTTTACAGTTCACGTTTATTATACGTGGCAGATTATACGTTGCATTCAATATAATGAGAATTTATAAGATTAAAAAATCTTCTAAAAGCTATTTGTAATATCTAAAAATTATCAAAATATATGTTCTAATATCGAATTGAATATCATGAAATTAAAATGTTTCAGAAACTGGATTCTGCTTCTGTCGTCGGGTAAAAAGGACAGAAGAATCTTGTCTGTTTTGTTGGTTTGAGACTAGCTCAGCCGCAGGGCCCAACAAGTAGGTTTTCTGTCCTTCTCTTGCTTGATGACAGAAGCAGAATCCGGCTTCCGAAATGCTGTAATTCTATGATAGATGGACGATGGACAAAGTCCGCAAAGGAACAGTTCAACACAACATGACACATCATCATCAGAAAGAAACCTGCAAGATTCATCTGCTTTTAAGCCTGCTTTCTTTTTTTGCAAGGGAAAATGTAGGCTTAACTTTTAAACTAGTTGACTGATATTCACAAAATTAGGTATGACGTCACGTGTGTCCTGTCATTCCATAAATAGACCAGCCTGTTGTATGTATGACCTGATCTGTCGTGTAGATTGTAAAGTTTAATTCCAAAATAATAATTTTACCCGTGGCCAGATGGTTCAATGTTACATGTTTTGAGTAGGTTTCATTTTGCTAGTCAGAAGTAATATTTTAGTTTCCATAGTCTGTCATAATTGGGTAAATTTTGCTAACAATATTGTCGTTATTTAAAAACTATGGGTGTTGAAGAATATGGAGTAATCTGCCATGTCTCATTGTTTTGCCATAAAAAGATTGTAAAAAAACTGTTCGTTCAACAAAATATGTTTGAAGTTGTCTCCCATTTGAACTGTAATTCCCAAAACAGAAGAATTTTACGTTCACTCACTCCTGTTTGTCATATTTGTCGGCTGTCCGCACTCGGACGCACCTTCGGATGCAAGTGACGGTGTCATGTCGTCTTCAGAACACTTATTTAACTTGTGTTGGGCAAGTAAGTCGTAAGTACGGACTGAGTCTAGCGTTGTTAAGAATTTGAAAATGGGAAGATTCATGATTTGAGTGAATAAAATCTAATTTTTATGATCTGTCTTGCTGATGAATTTTTATGTTTTTTATGCAGAGAGGTAGAATCCAAAATGCTGAAGATGATGAAAACAAAGGAGGACATGGAAGCATTTTACAAAGAAAGAGATGCTTATAAGCAGAAAGAGAAGGAAGAAATGGAAGAGGAGAATAGGTAAAGTAAAATGAAAGTTTTGATTCGGTTCACTTTTAATATTTCGGACACTAATTAGATCAAAAAATAACGTGTCCATCGTATTCCCGTATGCTTAAAAAGTGCAGGCTTCATATTTTACTCTGTTTATAATAAGGAAGTCGCTATTAATGGTGATGAGCGGACGACTCTCGTTTTGAAGGAACACATTGCCTCCGTATTCAGGATATGATGGAGGGGCTACATTCCTCTGCTGAATACCTGGAAGACTACACAGTGTCACAAACAAGAATATCGTTATCTTATATTTTGGAAAAAGTCATATTTTATGCTGAGAATCATATGAAATCCATAAATTCAAAATGTTTAATTTTTCCAGGCGAATAGAACAATATCTGGCAAGCCAGAGTATGCAAGAGCAGAAACGCGTGGCGGAGCTGAAAGAGAGAGAAGAGCAGAAGGCAGTTTTCACAGAGAAAATTGCCCGTCAAATGTATGAAACCGAAGTACGTATTCATTATCGCCAAAGTATTTTATGCAGTGCTTTAAAAAAAATTGAGAATTTTCAGCTCCAAAATATTTTTTTTCAAATTTTTGATTTTGTGCTCTTTTTAGACAATTTCCAGAATTTTTTTGATATTTCGACAATTTTTGAATAATTTGAAATTTTCCCAAAATTCTCCACATCCGAACATCACCAGATCATGTAAGGTTTGAGATTTTCACAGCGATGAGTATGAAGATTTCTGTCTTCTGGGTCGTTGCGCTCTGAAACGGTAAACATCTACTATACAACACGACGCAACAACCCAGAAGACAGAAATCTTCATACTCACCGCTTTGAAAACCTCAAATCTTACGACCTTAAAGAAATATGTGCGATAAACCCATGCATTTTCTTAGTCATTAATCATGCAACATCTTTACAAATATCAACGTACAGAATGCCCAAAAAGATACACTGAATCGTGCAACATCTTTACAAATATCAACGTACGGAATGCCCGAAAAGATGCACTGAATCATTACGTATGTATATATGTATCTTGGTGAAGTTTAGAGTTTAATAACACAAATTTAAGAAAGAGGGTTGAGGCAGGTGATAGGAACGAGAAGTTAAGGACTAGAAATGGTAAATGTGGTAAACTAAAGTTGTTACACGTGCTCGTCATTATTACATTTCTGATATATCGTATTTCTTCATTGGCCGCCTGCTGTATGAATGGAAGTTTCCTGATTGCCCTGACAATATTACAGACCAAAAGAAGAGAGGAAGAAGAAATTATGCTGCAGTTGGCCGAAGAACAGCGAAAGGAGGAACTGGAAAGACAGCATCGGGCAGAAATAGAGGTGAAACTTCGAAAGCGCGTCGAGGCGCAACAGGCTCATCGTGACCAGATGGCTGCCAGGATGAAAAAGTTGCAGCAGGAGGCTCAAGAGGAAGCTGCGTACAGACAAGTGGTAAGCGTGTACGAGGATGTAGCAGACGGCCGTCCTGTTCCTCGACAGAATTTAATTTGGATCTGCTGAATTGGTTATTAGGGAGTTGAGGAAATATAAGAAAGTGCATTTTCATTTTGGATTGTTATTAAAGTATGTTTTGGAAATACTATTTTGTATCTCAGTGCCGAATTGTTTGTGTGAACGATAACAAATTTATCGTCTCACATGTTTTCATGGCTTATTGTGAAATGACGGACGACCGAGTATTTTTGACGTGGGTGATGACGCAGGAATTTCTTATTCAGGCCATTTGTTTCTTGATTGACAGATAAGCTGAAAGAAAACTCCTTATTTTTTTATATTTTTTTTTTACTTTTGATTTACTTAAAAGTTCAGAAACCAATGAAAACATCTAAATATTTTTATAATAGGCATATAACTTTCACGTTTTGGCCGCAGCGTGCGTCGAAGGTGTTTCCGTATTTGGCAAACGTAGCATCTGTTGTTTGCTGTCATACCGAAGACGCCGGGCAACCGCGTCTGCCAAAACACATTCGGCGTACGATACATTTCTACGTAATTTGGAACAGATGTTGAAGCGATTGCATTAAAATAGAATAGCGTAGATACAGCGTTTACGACTAACGATCAAAGGAAAAATGAACATGTATTTATCTTTTGCAGTTGATTGAGGAATTTGCTGAAAGTGAACGCTTGGAGCAGCTAACAGCTGAGAAACGCCGCATTAAAATTCTGGAATACCGCCGGACAGTGAACGCCATGTTAGAAGAACGTCGGCGACGCCGGGCAGAGGAATTGCAGTACTTGTTGCATGTGCATCAGCTTGACCTTGAAGAAGAAAAAGCCAGGTACCAAGATGTGCTGTTCACACGTTCTTCCTCGTCGAACGATAAGCTTAATTACAGAGATATTATTATTTGTTTAACGAAGATTTGTGGTCTTGTGCATTTGAATTTAGTGTTGTGGCACTCTGTCTGTCTGAATTGGTCCATATCCGTGCCAGCACAAAATTTGATTTTTGTAAGGGATCGACGATCAGCGATATTTGTTACTTGTTCCAGGAAACGTATGATTGAGGAGGAACGCTTACGGATGTTGAAGGAACATGCAAGCAGACTTATTGGCTATTTGCCTCGCGGCGTCCTTCGTGAAGACGATCTTCCTCATCTGGGATCTGAGTTTATGAAACATTATGCCGAGACAGTTGAAAGTTCGTCGAAATGTCTTGAATGAGGATTACGAATGCGCGTCGCTCTTAATCCGACGACATTCCGTGCGTGAACTGATAACACTCCGTCCATATATGTCAAGTGTGTGCCTTTTTTTTTAATTTAAATTTAATTTAGCGGGTTATCGCGTTATGCGCCGAGATTCGCTTCGAAACGGCTGTTGCCGAAGACGTAGCTCAGTGACTTACAGATTGTTTGTTATTGAAACCTATATCAGGAAGATGTTTTTTAAATGTTTTTTTCAGTGTTTCTTTTTAGGACAACGGTACGTCACGTGGCGAACGGAGCAGAGATGTGCATCACTGAATGCAGCGTAACGTAGGTATTACCAGCTGATCGGAGTCTGACGGCGCGCTGTCCTGGAGGGTCTCACGTGATACGTAACATTCTATAAAATATTCCCCAAACTATAGTATTAAGCAGTCCTGAATGCATTACTATTCCCATAAATAATTTTTACGGGTTCTTTCTAAAAAGATGCGATTACCTAACGACTGCATTTGGTGTCTGCGGGTTCACATAAAAAAATTCTCAATATGTGCGGTATCTGCAGTCAACATCAGAAATTTTACACAACTGTTTGAGTTCCTTCACTGACGTTGATCACTGTCAAAATTGTTTCTCGTGGGACTTTTGAATGAGCCGGATCAGCTCTACGGATTAGACGACTGGGGTTCGATCTCTGACCGGGGGCCAGAGGATTTTTCCTCTAGCTTCTGCATTCAGACTGACTCTGGGGCCCACAAAGCCTGTACGATGGTTACCGGGATCCTTTCTCGGGGATAAAGCTCGGCCTCGGCGTGACGCCGACCGCTCACCCCCATCTAGTGCCGAGGTCGAGAATGAGTAGGAGCTACACCTCCTCTACCCCACAGCGCCTTCCCTTGTATAATCAGAAGATAATTCATGACTATTACAGGGTATTAATTATTCTGGGAAATGGACATTTATGTACAGTAGATTCCGATTAATTGGGGCAGCAGTTTATTTGGGACAAACCTTTTTATTCTTTACGTGGAACTTCGCTTAATTGGGCCAAAGCGTTCTAATCCTGATGTTCAAATTAACTAGAATCCACTGTATTAGAATTATTATTAAGAGAATAACTCGTTTTTAAATGCATATTTTTATACTTTAAATTTAATAGATTGAACTTCAAAGATTCACAACGTCCACATGATCGTAATTTTTGAGTCATAAACAATATTTCATACAGAGTTTGCAAGTATGATTATGAACCATTTTTACATAAAAATTTGCCGACAAACTGTAGTTGTGTGCCCATCACTGATTTACGTGGAACGTCAGTGAAACTAGAAGGTATGTTTCAGGAAATGGCCGATTCAAATCATTTATTGGTAAAAGGTTCTGAGCACTCGGCATAATTGCATGCAAATACGTCGGACAATTTGGGTGGGCTGTAGACACAGAACGAGCAGCTTGCTTACCAATCTCATCAGCACGGCAAGGCTACAAAAGATTACCGATTTATTTTCATAAAGCTCACAGACGTTTTTGACTAAATTCCGCCATCTGGAAAACTGTCGTTTCTAGTCTATTTTTAGCTTTAAAATAAATATGGACGCTTGCCATCATGTTAATCCACAACCTGACAGAATCAGGCATTTGTGCAATTTTATCGTACCACATTTTTTTACAAGGGGATTTTTCATTTGTAAGTGACACCGAAATATCTCCGAAACGTCTGCAAACAGGATGTTTGGGTACTTGTGGGTTATCGGGACACATCGCTTTAAAAATAGGTTACATTAGTTGTCATTTATTGAAATAAAATATAATAACTTTTAAGTATATGTTATTTATCCACACCTAACCTAACTTATTTTTAAAGCGGTGTGTACCGATGTTGGTTTAACTACATAAACTTTATACAGAAGGGAATAGTCGCTCAGCTGTCCGTCATGGATCCCAAAGGTTTTGTGCCATGTCGCAATAGTCTGCTATCGTAGGCCTGTGCTCTTATGTAGACTTAAAGATGTGCGAACTGGCTTATGCTAAGCGATGTGAATGCAGTCCATAACCTCCAACCCGATTTCGCCAAGATCACTGTTTGTAAAGTAGCGAGAGAATTGTGTAAAAATAAAAGAATTATTAAATCTTAACTATTCATACCAACATAAAACTTATAAGACAGTTTATCCTTGATATTTTATTTTGTGATAATTTCCTCGCACATATTTCATCTTCCAGTTATTGAGACCTCTTTGCATTTGCTTTTATGTACTTTTCACAGTTTACTTTCCCCTTGTTCTTCCGTTTTCCCTTTAATTCTCTCTCAGTCTGACGTTCAGTTAAAGACGTGTATAGTTTGAAAGTGTAGTTGTCTTATAAGACAATTGATGTAATCTTTTTTAATAATTTAGCATTTTAGAAGAATACGTGTTTTATTCCGGTAAGGAACACATCTTGTCTTGTTTAGATGAATTTTGTGTTTCAAAGCGTCATCATAACCATCTCTGCAAAATTAATTAGACCACAGAAACCTCACTGCATAGTCATAAATAAGTTTTTATAGTGAGCCTTCTCTACTATATTTGCCTTATATTCTTATAACTTAAGTATGAGCTGTTTTTGAGAGTATTCTTAATTTACAAGCTTCCGGAAATAATTAACGTCAAGCTTAGAGAAAAGAGGTCCGCCCGATGTGTGGTAATTAGGGATGAATTAAGAATCCTACGTCATGTTTACGGTTCATAATATTCCACTCCCCCGTCGCGGTGCAGCGCGGATCGGTGTGATGAAACATTCGTGTGACATTTTGGTTTGACAACCCAATGTCTACCTAGGCACAAATGGGAGAATCATATCAAAGTGGGAAATGGGGTGAAGGGTGCGGGTTGGGTTCATCTAGCTCGAGACAAAGTCCAGTGGAACGATCTTGTCATTTCGGTTATGAACTTCCACGTTCTATGGCGGCGGGACATTTCGTGACCAGCCTGTACTGAAAAAGGAGTCTTACGTCTTTCGCAATCCGTAAAACTGCGCCTACTGTGGAAGAAAATAATAACTAAATTCTGTGTTAGTTGTTTCCCCGCTTGACGTAATGGGTGAGACAGAGACGGAGAATATTCGCGACGGTATGTCGCCTTACAGCTGCTGCTCTCTGGTGGCATTTCTGTGTAGTTCCTCCGTCTCCCTTGTTCTCGTTCTTTTCTATCGCACAGCGCACAGTTCGTCGGGTCCGACGGTCCCTTCCCTCTTTTGTACACATTTTTCCCCATACGACCTCTCTTATCCCCTCAGGCCACTGCAGTATTGTCAATCCACTCTCCTTGGATAGCATCTTAATCACCTTTCATCGCTATTGCTTTATGTGTGTTTCTATCTCGGCTTCCTAGTTATTTTTCATACACTATTTATGATCTTAACCTTACGTGTTGTTCTCGCTTCTCAACGTCTGTTCACCGGCGCCCAGCTCTGATGAAGGCGGACGGAGGAGTGAACTGATGCCGTAGGTGAGACACAGGCGGCCAATAAGCAAGCTTCAGGGGCCGGACGAATGGGCGCGAGAGAGACAGTTAGACAGTCGGACATGCAACAACATCAAGCGGGCGGTGAGTTGAGGTAACAAACACGAAACGTTTGGTTGGTAGTAGTGTGGAAGAAGGGTAAATGTTGTTCGCTTTGCCGTCATCGCTAGCCGTTCAGCTTTGCTTTGGATTGTGGTGACGCTGACGTGCAGTGTGGAATAAGAAATAAATTTCTGGTGTTGTGGCCTTCCAGTAAACACTACGACTTTTTTGTAACTCGTTCACTGGTTCAATTGTTAGAGACTGTCATATAAAGTGATGTTTTGTGTTCTCGTGCTTCGGCTGAAGGAGTTATAAAAATAAAACTGTCACTGCTAATATCAGTTACAGAAGAGGAAGTGTTTTATTATTTTTATTGTCGTTGTTGTGGGACACCTGCCTGTTTTGATACTCGCCGTTAACAAGGGAAGAAAGTCGACGGAAATTTCCAGTTTTTAACTCTTCGTGTCCGTGAAAAATTTAAAAGTAAGCATCGATAGTAATTGATTGATGTGTGGTGATACTTGATGGGTTGTTGTGGTGAAGAGGAACCAAGGGCAACATTAACATTGGCAGCGTTATCATCATGGCATCATCCACAGCTGCTGATATTCCAACAGCAAGAGGCAGAAGGAAGCAAGCCAAGCCGCAACGAAAAAACGGTAGGGATTTCTTTTTTTGGTTGAAGTTTGTCTCGAATTGTGACAGGTGTCAACAGTGTTTCGTTCGCAGAGAGGTTAAGCTCTATCTTTTTTTAATCGCGTGTTTAATTTTGTGTCGTGATGTAAAGTTTCAATATTTTTCACCATCATATTTAAAATAGGATTAATCTATTTTATTAAATGAATTACAGATTAATATTTACGCGTTTGTAAATTCAGTAGCACCTTCTTTGTTTTCGGACCTTAACGGCATGTGTATTTTGTTCTGGAGGCGGCCATATTTGTTTTAAGAGTGGGGGGGAGGGGGTGTGTCGTAAAATCATATATAGCTACGTTTGGTCTTGTATATTATTTTATATTAAGTCTTTAAGCGTTTGACGCCTGTGACTTTAACATATCGTACAATTTATAAGTTAAATTTATCCTGATGAAAACTCCGGTTTTATTTGTCGATTCTTGTCTACTGTGAAATTTCGTACTTCTCGGGGCCTGACGCGAACTGCTTTCTCGGCATTTCCCAGCCCACTGCCCGTCAAGGTTTTAGTTGCTTTCACGGCGAACGTTGACAACTGTGAAAGAGGTTCTTTCTACCCATTTTACCACGCACCAAGCCAATAATCCTTTGTTTACTTTTAACATAGTATAAGGTGAGTGTTCTAAACGACTCATTACGTAAGAATCCGATAGTTAAACGTCGTTTTAAGTCATTTTGAAGGTTGGCATTTCGTATTTGGTCACAGAATCTTGTTTTAAACATCATTGTTGAAAACTAACTGTTTGAACAGAAAAGATTCGTGTTTTAGCACAGAAATCGTTACGGGCTGCGTAAGTAGTAGATCAAAGTCAATGAATTTCTGTATTTGACCGAATTTAGTGCCTGCGCGAACCGCTACGCAACAGATAACAGCATGAACGTTACGTATTTTTCAAATCCGTTTTTAAAAACATTCACAACAAACACACGTAATTGATACCAGAATAGTTTGTCATTAATTTTGTCGTGGCAGTAAAATTGCGCACTTTCAAAAGCGAAACCACTTAGACTGTGGTCAAGGGGTCACAATGAAATGCAACTTTAATGCCTAAATCATGTTAGTAAAATTTGTAATGATTGAGCGTGACGTAACGAAGGAAGCAGGCCTAGATTTTTCGATCGCATTTATCACTTGTAAAGTCGCTGTTGCATGCTTATACGTTTTTGGGGGTACAGTTTGGGGGACATAATTACATCCTTTACAGGTTTTTTTGTGAGGGTGAAAACATTTCAGAGTCCTCTGGAAAATACGTGGACTGAAGAAGAATTATTAAATAAACAACAGGCCTACAGTGTTACATAATGCATATATTTATAACTTATACGGGCCAGGATGATAAAATTTGAGATGCTGTGATCAGGAGACAACAAATGCGTACAAAAGTTTGGCTGGGAATCATCTTGGGACAAAGCCACTCGGAGAACCGAAATTAGGTGATAGAACAACATTAGCGCCGTTAAACTTGAGGGTTCAGTCACTATATTTACGGGCAGATAGATGTCTCTGTTGTCTCGGCGTACAAGATTCAAACAGAAACTGTCATTGTCATACAAGTTTTTCTGTGAATACTGGGTTTACAATTTATAAGGCTGCGGTCGTGCTTGCATTGCGAGGTGGGCGGGAGTTGTGCGCGTTCTTCCATTGGGTGACCGGCGAATCAGTTTCAGTGCCGATAGTAACAGCGAACTACGAATATTTCTCGTCACTAATACATGCTATTACATTAATTGTTCTTACCTTAAATCACAAAAGGGGGAAACATTCATGTCTGATAAACTATTTCTTACGCCCCAGTGAATACTTCGCTGCGAGACAGACTGGGAACAGAACATCGGGGAAATGTAGCTATGTTTTACCGGTCAGGAACATTCAAGTTCTTTCATTTTCGAGCAGCGTTATGAATCTGTGACGTAAGCGCGTTTTTTATGCAGGAAACATGGCGGTGTGGTAGTTACATTCTCATGCCTGGAAGATAGCAGTTGCTTCACGTGGAATGTGAAGTGTTCTTCTCATCTCTATGACAACTTGAAGTCAAATATGGATGCCGTATTTTCTGTTACAACGTGAAATAATTGTAAATGTTTCGTTCAATGAAAGGCCTTACGTGATTAGGGGTTCGATTTACAAGACGTACGTTTGATGATCTGGTGTTAAATCGCTAACATTTAAACTTTTTATCAGAATTAATAACCGTGGCCCCATAATTTTTTTTGGATAAAAACAGTGTGAAAAGAAAATATTTTGACCTAATAAGTGGGTTTAATGTACCGAAGAACCTGGTGGCTTACACAGGTCACCTTCATTTTGGATAATGAAAGCCATAAAATGTACTTATGACGTGGGAACCAAGGTATGCATTCAGAATTTTGGTTGGGAATCTCACGGGAAACGGCGACTGGGAGGTCTCGAGGAGCAGACGGTGGATGGCATTAAGATGTGTCGCACGGAAACGGGTTAAGTAGGAGGTGGATGAAACTGTTTGTGTCTGATGGTGGGTTTCAGCCTTCGAGTCGTTGTCGAGTCTCGAGGGGTTGAATAAATATATATATATATATATATATATATATATATATATAATG